TCGTATATGAGTTCTGTATTAGGTGTTTAAATGAAGGATCGCTAATTCCGATTTAAATGATTCAGTAGTTATAGACATCGTAGTAAATTATATCGTTACATGTTTCAATGTTCACTAAAAGCAATACAACGCATGGATCGAAATTATTAAACATCTTGTTTTTACTTGTATATTCAAACATCAGTATATATCGCCCGCCGCTAGATACCTAACGACTGTCCTGGTAACAGGTAATCAGATTACGCATTGCCCGTCGGCAAAGGCCTCCGTTTAGAGTGATTTCGACCGACAACGCAGGTTGGCATGGGCAACGCTCAAGTGGATTATCAATTTACATGCTAAGTATGACCAGTTGGATGATACCGAAGAGACAGGCAACCTCGTCAGTTCCGGCAGGCCTCTACTGTCCTTATCTGCTAATGATCTATCAATTCGCCGAAGTCATTGGATTCCTAGTGTTTGCTTACTAATATTTAACGTGCAAACAGGCCAGCTGCAGCTTAATTGAAGACTGCCGGCGAAGGCTAAGCCTAAAGGTTGCCGCTTTACAGAGTTAAGCGTTTGGCTGTTAATAATAGACTGCCAGTCAAAAACGTTGCTCCATCTTTCAAATCATGTTCCAGGGAAAGATGTAATTTGCTTACGAGGAAGGGGCTAGCCTAACCAAAAACCTTTTTCTGGAAAGAGTAGCGAAGTAGTAGGATAGAATTGGTTAGCGAACTTGGCCAAAACGGCAGATCCTATAGAATAAAACATCGAAGAACGTTCTTTCTTTTTTTCTAGCTAGATATTTTTCCTCAGGTTCTTACAGCATGTATGAGCTTTTGACGAAGTGATGACAAGCTCTAAGCGCCGTGGGGGATAGCGGAACCACCGCACCTCTGGCCTAACTCCGGTTCGGCCGACTCAAAGAACGAAGCCCGTGTAACATGGCTGACGTACGATAATGCCGCTTGATTGAGGCTTTATTACGGTATAATATTCAATGAAATGGCAAGCTCCCCCTTCACCCTTTTCCTATTTTCCAGCCCAACATAGTAGATCTATACGGCGACTGGCTTCTGTAATCATATGTGAAAGACAAGCTTCACGTCGCACAGAGTAATGGCAGCTAGTCATAGGTGATCTCCGTACGCCAAGCAAACATGCTTGTCAGGACACTCGACCGATTCAAGGAGAAACCAAGGAGTTTGACTCAGTAGATATGCAAGCGTATCCTTCTTTTGCAGTATGGAATTGTCTTACGAGAATTATGTTCGGCAAATTTCCTTCATCGTTACGGATATTATCATGTACCGTTCTGCTGCAGTATGCAGGGCAAAGAGCACACGAGAATTTTCCGCCTTAATTAAGCAGCAACCATGCAATCAGAATATTTGTGTTTGAATAAACAATAAAAGAGGCAACTACATGATATAAGATATGGGTTGTAAAGGTATTTTTTGATCTTTTGCGAACTACTTCTCAACCACTACAAACTCTACAATAATTTTAAACATATACAATGAAATGAGTTAAAAGTTAGGTTAAATTTTCCAAGCTCTATAATATGATTTTAATTTGTACTCAGAGTAAAATGTACTTTTTATTGACGGATCATTATCATTATTAACAGCCCCGACCTCGAATATAGCCTCGAAAGTCGACCATTCGTTGGCTTCTCTCTGAGAATGGATGAGATGTTCCGATATCCTTAAACAGAAACATTTACCTGATCGATTTCATTGACCGCTTGGATTGATGCTTTACATCGGAGGCCACTGCATGACAATCTCTGCAAGCGCACACATACATATCTATGTATTTTTTTACTGCACTAAGTACAAATTTAAAATATAAAATAATAAAACCAATATCGTGGAAAAGAGACGATAGCGATTAACGTTACAGGCCGGGAACGCTATTTCATTCAACGCCCGTTCAATCAGGGATCACTATGGCTACGAAAACGTACAAAAGGTTTTCAGAAAGGAACTAATTGAAAGAACAATCGCGGCAACTAACCGCTTCCTCAAGTAGGACAAAACTGGTGTCTGTTTGACTCGGCCTGCCATATATATATGGCAGGCCGAGACAAACAGGGGAGGGCCTTTGTCTATATAAATACATCCTTACAATCATTATCGGTATTTAATATGCAGCTCGTATGAAATAGACGCTAAATGGGAAAGTTCACATTTAGGTGCTCCGTTTTTTGCTTTTAACTACTCCTTGGCCATGGCAGAGTAATCTGGCCCGCATACTGAAGATCTATCGTAGACACCCTTTTTATGTACCGACCAAAATATCAAAAACAAGAGTGCAGCGATTTTTTTTTATACATTTGTATCCGTTTGGATGAATAATTCGTCCTGCGCGCCATTTTTGCCAGGTGGGCCTTACGGCATTGTCCATTTGGGCAACGCCAGCTGTCGACAAGAAACTAATATTCGGAATTCATTATTAATAAGCCGGATTACTTATTAAAACAGTCCATGCGTCTAATTTAACGAGTTGTTGATTCCCATTGAAGTAAGGCAATCTTCCATATTCATACTGATCCCGTAAGAACCATTATTAAAGAGTGATTAAGCTTTGCGATAAGTCACTTGCTAAGAGGCGACATCAAGTTCTGACCGTTTCCGTCTACTTCCCCAAAGCTAACAGGAATGGGTAACTGATATCTCAGCCTGTTGGCAAGTCATGACTTCGTCCTAATTAAACTGAGTATCTGTCACTTTCCTGAAATTAACCTTCCGCCATTGATTTCCGCTGACTCTCTGACCATTTATTAAATACGCCCAGCTGCTCTTTATTGTGTTTGTCGTACTTTTTTGACCTATTGCCGCATAAAACTAAATACAGCAAAATCTTGTAACCCTGAGAAAGATTTTCATGCCTGTAAATTATAGTTTACTAATGTGTCTACTGTAGAAAAGGCAAAATTTTAATAAAAGAAGATAACAAAGGAAGTAGACATTTGGGGTATTTTGTGAGTTTTAATGTATTAATTATACTATAAAGTACACGTATATGAAAGGTTTTTTCTTTTAGCAGCATCTACCGTATGAAATAGAACAAAAGACGCTCGCGATTGACCGCCTGTTTCAACTGTCATCACTGGAACAGACGCAGCAAGCGACAATGCTCGTCGATACGGAGCCAGCGTCGTGAGTCCGGCGTGCTGCGGCTTGATTTCTAATAACCCACAGTTAGCACATTTCATTCAATCATTACGTTATATTCCATTATAATAGTTACATGTATCATTTGTATGCGGCATAAAATGCCCAGCGTTTCTTTCAAGGGCCGACCCGCTGCCACCCTCGCCAGCTGCTCGGTTATCTACAGATTGAACTTTCGAACATTAAAAAAAGTAATGTTCAGGTATGCTTTTTTACCTTTACGAAATGGAAATAGAGCTTCAGATAGTAAGCACTATGTCTTGGTGGAACCGAAATCGGGTGCTTACCCTCCGGGTAATGCTAATGCTGCACATGGCTTCTAAGAACCGAGCTATTAGTATGTTAAGTCGTACCAAGAGGAAAGAAGAAGGTATAATTGAAGAGAACGTTTGGCGGCCTATCATATCGGGTGCGCGAGGGAACGTGAAAAAAGCAGAACACTATGTGAGAAAATCACCGTACGTGTCATTCCAGGTGACAAGACGTGAGTGTACGGGTATCACATAGGGATAAGTAGATAATCATCTAGGTATCGCCTCAAATGTAAGCCGAGGTCTAGAAAGCATAGGAAAATCCAAGTGAAAATTAAACGACTAACAGCTTTTTCTCACCATCAGAATGCGGTATACTATGAACTCAGATCCGGGAGCTCAACCGTGCTAAGATAGTGCTATATGCTAGATACGCTTGACAACAGTCTGTGGCTTCCTCGTCGTTTTACATAGTGCGTTTTTACGGAAAAATGCAATTCGTGAATTATCTTAGTCTTCGCATTGGTCAGATACAGTTTTCTGTCATTCTCTCCTCTTTCCGAAACTCAGCAAACGTTTAGATGGAAAAAGCTTTCAAGAAGACCGAAGAAATCCAGGAACCAACGAGAACAGGGCTATTCTTACGACCGAGTTAGAAATCTGTTTCGAAAAAAAAATGCCAGTACTCGTGTGTGAATTCCTGCGGGGAGTTGTTCGAGGCATACAGCTGGGGTTATCTAAACCCCAGCTGTATGCTGAACACGTGTAACTAACACAGGGTCAATTTGTGCGTATCTTTTGACGCTGTATGTATGAAGAATATTAGTATACAGCTAAATTGTATACACATTGTATGTTATGGACTGGCATATTATATCAATAAAGATCCAATCATAACTTTAGTAATTTCCCCTAGAAAACCTCGATACCCTCTGGAGGTATCAAAGTAAGATGGTCATTTTAGATTTTGAACATTTAAAAATTTTGAATATTCCCTTCTTGTACGAAATTATCGATTAATGCGATTGAGCAATGCTCCAAGGAGTTACAGGTCGTCGGGGTTGAATTAGTTGATTGAAATCATTGTTATATAATCCCTGATCACCTGGAGCCGTTTTCTACCACACAAACTGATTTCTCTAGATAATTTCCATCTGATTAAGTCGTTCTATGGATCGTAATTTTAATCTGACTTGCGAAAAGTAGAGGACGAGTTCAAACTCTTAGCTGAACGGTACAGCTTGGTTTCTATCAACGGCTGTGGCCATTCCGCTAACATAATGCAGTTTATAAAATACTATCTCAGATGAACCTACAATCAATCAAACGTAAAAGCGTTATTCCCTCTATTTTGGATGTGCTATAAAAAAGCTGAGATCGAACAGTTGATGTCGCCCCATTTTTACTAACAACAGCTTAGCGTAGCTAGAGTCGACATTTAAAATTCTATTGCCTAATTCAATTTTTTAATGTCAATTTTGAGTGTAAATTAAAAAAATAGAATCACAATTATCATTAAAAGCATGTTCAAGTAGGTCCCTGGGGTTATATACGCGAACTATTTATTGCTTGGACAACAGTTGAATGCAGCTTTATCAATACACATCTTACGCATATATGCACGCTAGCGGACCCCACAGCGCAGAATTATGTAGTCCACATATCCAACAGGGAACACGTTTACACTATACTAGTAAAGGTTAGCCAGCTACATACTTACATATTTGGGTCAACAGAATGAAGAATACAAATATTCCAGTGTTCATTCTCTTGGCAAATTCAGATCCACGTAAGCGCGCGTGCGGTTGGCTAAAGGAGCCGTTACCGTTGTTAATGTCCTGAATACAGTCGTCACATATTCTGCTCTCGTTTACATACATATGCAAATGAGAGGGAAGAACTAGGCATACGTACGTACATACGTACGTAGGTGAAAGCTATGCACTTACAAACAGTATTGGCCAGACTGGCGCAGCTGATCTAAGCAGAACAGCTGTTCCCTGTCTGTATTGAAACTACTATCTGCATACATCTAAATATATAATGTCATAGTAGTCTATCTAAAAAGGGTATTAAATATCTCTAGCAAATATCAGGTGCCACAATTGTTCTCCAACAGAAACATGTGATCTTGCGGATCTCTGTAAGTAGAAATCAAGTAACTAGAATCATATAGCGACCACACAGTGTTTTGTCGATTCCCGCGTGCCATGAAATAGATAATTTTGCGCTATTAAAATTGTCGTAGCTTTTCGGCCATGTTACCGTAGACTGACGGGCTTAGCGGTTTACCCTGTATACACAAAAAAATTGGGCTTGTCGTCACATGTGGCTGCATTTCCTAGGTTGGCGGCCTTCGCCACAGCAGCCGTCCGTGGCAGTTTTCCGTTCCCCTCTGAGCGCCGACGCCCCTAGCACTAGCACCGTCATACTTAAATAGGCGTGTCACGGATAGACCTGTGGTCACTCCACCGCGACCTGTCGTCGACTTCTTCATTAACGCCTACCATGGCCGTTGCGAACTCCGTTCCCTAAAGGATATCCACGAGGAGTGCAAACCAATTGATTTATTGAGATAAATAGATTCACAATAATGATGAATTATTTCTATTTGATACTGAACGGTTCATGGTAATTTAAACAAAAACTTTTGTCATTATCATCGTTATTGCAGGTATTACCAGATGAACCATATAACTTGGCACAAACAAAGCAGTGGTACCTTAATGTATGTATAGATCACGGGTTCGGTCCGAGAGTACCAGAAACAGAACCTGAGTCACTTTTTACGTTCCTAATTATTTTTTTATATTTATCATTGCACATTTATTAGAAGCAAATATAGCATTCTAGCACTGTCGAGGTTTATCGCTACAACGCTATGCAAAGAAAATGTCCCTCTCGGCTCATTAATCGGCGAAAGTACACTTGAAGCGTTTATATGAGTCCAGTTGCCAACCTCGTTTCTTCAGACGCTGCAGGCAGCCGTAGGCAATTTTTCCCTTTCGCGCCATATATACGGCCGCCTCGCCCTCGTTCTTTGTTAACATGATATAGTGGCTAACCGATCTATTGGAAAAAGGCAAAGTGAAGGTTTTTCCTTTTTGGTGACTCTATACGGAAACTCCCTCAAAAACGTCCTTCATAGGACAGCGGAAACAGCAGCGCTTCCCAAGCGCGGTACACAGAGGCGTTTTTCTTGGTTTATTTTGTTCCAGTCAATCGAATCACAGCAGTCACATGTCGAAAGCCATAGTCATTTACCGCTTACGCTCGCAAGCGGACCTACCTGAGTGCATTTATGGACACGGCACCTACATCAACGTACTAACCGCCATCCACAGCTGTTCACAAATTCATCGATCGCGATATGGACAACACAACAATCTGCGCATCTTGATGTTATTGGCAGGGTTTGATTATTATAGTGTTTGTTCATTGTGCTTTCTGGCGTTGCCTGGAGAATGCAAGTGATCCAAGGTAATAGGTCCAACCAGCCTCTAATGCCAATCGATGATCGAGTGGTCAAGGTACTCTGCTGTCAGCATCTGTGACCGGCCTGCAGACAGGTTTCACCGATTCAAACGGCACACCCCGAACAGTGCGGAATTGCTGATGCGTCAGGCAGTTTGATCGGCCGATGATTGAGTACTGATCACCGCGTGAGATCTGCGGAAGGAACTCTGAGAGAGGTCTACAAAAAAAACCCGAGGCAAACGGCGCAAAGTAGCCGAGTAGGCATTGCGATAACTAGCGCCAGATAGATGTGAACGCTAGATATAGATCGAGATACCATTAATTCTACTGTCAACAATTAAACTTTTAAGCTTATTTTGTAGAACGGTTCAAGTTTGTGACCGTACGTAGCAAAGTAGTTTTCCATACAGAGAGTCGTTGGTGTTATTTCTATAATACACGGGTATCGCGGTTCTTGGGAAGAGGGTATGTCTAAGCCCAATGGTTCGTATTTTACAATCATGAATAATAGCTTATTTCCGAAGTTACAGGCAACAAGCCCATACATTTTCCACTGTTACTGACCATTGTTGTGGTATTTATCGTTCGGTGCTAGACACCGACCTAGTTTGCTCCCCCATTGTATTCCCAATTTGTATCCCCCTTCTTACTGCGAGTGTGGTGATTAAAATCACAAAAGCATATGTAATTTTTAATTTCGACTTAGCTCCACTTTGTTGTCACGCGATTAGCGTTATTCCACTATCGTGGATGCCATGCACTTTGTAGACGGGACGGTCAAATAGATCTGTCCGCATTGTTTAGGACACCTCTAGCAAGCATCACACAAATGGCCTGAACAGGACCTGATCTGTACTGGATCGAATGAGCAATGTCAAATGCTGACCTAAATTTAGTTAAGGAAAAAGATACGGCAGTGGATAGCCGCGGTGAATTATGGTGAAAATAGCAAAAGGTGCAAAAAAATCTATCTATCTATGTCCGGCTTCCTGGAGCAGAGGCATGGCTTGTACAACTGAGAAAAAAACAGCCTCCTGTGAAGTAACTATCCTGCCTACGTATGTAGGCTTCACAAACATTTCTATCATATAAACTTCATAAATGTCGACTACCAATCGTTTCTAGTAAGATCTATATTGTGCCACTTCGTTCCTTTGCTCTCATTGAGAATCCAGTCGTCAGAATGTCACGGGTTCAGATGGATTCGTGGATTTGAGCAATTATTTCAGATAGCAAATGATTTGTTTGCTGTCTGCTGATCTATGCGGCTATAAAGCGCCAGCAGATTTACGATTATTGGGTGAGTGTTCCTCTTCAGGCGAAGGGGTTAGCTGTCAAAATTGGAGGCTGTATATTTGTGTAACGCGCAGTCAAACAAATCAAGCCTTATTTGTTGCTTGGCGTCAGGGCTACACTCTTAACAACGCGGGAAGAATCCCTTCTAACAAATGGTGCAGATAATTTGATAGAGCTTCTCGCTGAATTTGTACAGGCTCGCCGTGATAGAGACCTGCACCAACACAATCTGTCGAGCTTGCAGGTCGTTTAGACGCTAGGTTTCACGCGTTGCGAGAAAAGTTCAACACCGTACAGTATCCTAGCGATTTATAGAGTAATCTATAGTAAAATTACAGTTTGGTTGCACTGCAAGGAAATATTGGAATTGCTCTATAGGCGCCGTTCAATAATGACATCTAGCGTTTTCCGTACGCTAATAGCGTGAGTGATGCCGAGCAACATCCGTATAACACGATCCGGCGGTACGACTGGCAACGAAGCAGTGTTCAGGTGACTTGGCAGGAGGAATTGGTCAAGACATGATTACATAGAAGAGATCTGGTGAGTCTGATGACGTCAAACTAACCCTCTCTGGTCTGTGTGGTTCTGTTTCGGATGCTCTGTGCCTAAATGTACCTACTGCTTTCACCTGTTCGGCCGTCTACTTTTCCTTGCGCGTACGTTAAAGTCAGTTAGGACCGACCGAACGGTTGCTTTCTCCATGAAGGTGTCGACCCATCCACGTGTCGAAGCTTCCGTTCTTGCTCTCCTTTAGCCAAACGAAAAAAACAGACTAAGCAAACGAAATCTAATAACAGCGAAATTGGTCCGTTTGACATATGTATGTATGATACGTGTATATGTGTGTATGAATAAGTAACAGTGTAACTAAGCGACTCGTTTAAGACAATGTAAAATGCCTACCTGATCCTTCTTTGTTTTTACCCAATGAGTACTGATATGCCCTACCGTTAGACACTACCGTTGTGAAAAAGGTGAGCAAATCAGTAGCGCGTGGTTTTACAAGCTAGTGAGCGACCTGTTTGTCGGCGTCTGTCGCAGCAACGGTATTGTCCACCGAATAAAAAAGAAAGTTACTATTCAGTACAGATATTTACGTATTCTAACATTTAGAGAATAATAATTTATCGAATTCCGAGTCGCCTTTGTTCTAATACAATCAAAATGATTAGATAACCGGCTCGTTGGACATTTTCCAATTATAGCCGATAATTAAGATACGGAACGAATTGTACTAAAAATGCATATCGTGCGACTTCCAACACTCAATTGGGGCTGTTCAAAGGGATTCGAAGTAAAAATCCTATGCAAAAACAATCGCCACATCACCATACGTGATCCTTATAATCTGCTTAGTATGAAACCGAAACCAGCCAGACGATACTCCGAAAATAATCCTATACACCTACAAATTAAGCAGAGAATATAGAATCAGAAGAAGAAAAAAAGATCAATTATGAGGTGTTTTGAGACGTAGACCCAAGATGGCTTAGGTTTCGGTTGCTCGTTGGCCTAAACTTAACAGTGAGAACAGTGATGCATACGATACTAGCGAATAGACCTCTTTAGCGAAATTCAACTTAGATTCACAGCTTGACCAATAGCAAGAATAGGATATTAAAGGGTAAGTGAAGATTAGCCCTGTTTTATATCAAGATAGGCCGCCGAAGAGAAAAACGCAAACATGTGCAAAACGAGCCAGAGGTCTTCGCCGAATCTCGAAATAAGTCGCTAAAAATAAGTATCTTATTTTTTTTTCTTTTGTATCGCCAGTATTCTATGATGTTAAAGTATGTATTATTTGACGCTAAATTGATACGGCATAACTGTGTTTCGGCCATTTGAAAAAGTAAGTTCGAAATGCTTTTAGGTTTTACGTGAGACTATGGTCTACTCTATATAATGCGCCTAGTAGCAAAAAATAACACCTTAAAATAGGAAGCATCACATGGTTATTTTCAAGGTTTAGTAACAGTCTTTCTTGTTGTCAACAGCCGGTATCGTCCGTAACGAGTCAAAGCAGAACTCAGATTTATGAGTTCTACACTTCTTGGGTCTGACTAAAAGCCTAAAAGGCAACGAGAATAGAAGGTAGAAACCCATGATTTAAAAATGTTCGGGCTAAATAAACAGTTGAAGAGCAAGGTAAGCGATTCTGGCAAATAGATTTCAGTTGTTACCGTTGATTGAATATTGGTTAACGTTTTAATAACGGAGATCAAGCGAGGTCAAATATGTCTTGGAGTAATTTCAACATTCAAACGAATGGAATTTATAATAGAGGAGCAGAAGTAAGATCCTCATTCTTTTTGAAAAGGAAAATCAGTAAACCGTTCACTAAATACGAACTAGACGGTACGTATAATTACAATTCCCTGAATAATTTCACCCCAGGATTATTTTTTTGGTTGCACATACACTTGGGAATATGTATAATTCTTAAATATTGCAGGACTATGATCATTATTATTATTATCAAGAAACGAAATATGAAAATGACAGGTAGAAAAAAAATTGCTAAGTTATTTTATAACTTAGCAATTTTAAGTATCGATGGCTCCCGACGAAGAACTTCGGCGTTGCCGTTTACTGTTACGTGTAGTAAATCTAAATCCAGTGTAAATCCAACTTTTTCTATTGCAAAACAGTACCTGGAAAATAGGGCATGAGACAGTAGATGGTCTCGAAGGGCCTCGCAAATATTTATTCTTTTATCATTCACTCTTAGATACGTTTCGGCCGGAATCCTTCCATTTCGATGAAAGTGCACTTCAGATACGTATCTGATAGGTTCACAATATTGTATTTAAAACTCTTGACAATTGTCGACCTTTGTGTAGTGAAAATATGCTTTCTGTCTGAACCTTTTAACCTAATAAGCAACATTAATTAAACTATAGCTTCATATATATACGGTAGACTTGTTAATAAGAACGAAATTGTTTGTTCGTAAGATTTCGCTTTGTAGCGCTCCTGTTTAACCGGTAAAAGTTCAATACGGTGTTGGAAACCTACATGACTGATGCCTAGTTCATCGTTTACGCCCAGACGAAGCACATCGCTCGCGCAGAACGTGAGAACCTGTGGCACAAATTTGAGTGGGCACTGTCCAGCATTTCGAAGACATCACAAGCTGCGAGCGATAGTGCCAGCGGTCGATGCTTGATCCCTGATAATGCTGGTCTGCTCTATTCGGAGCGATTCGCTCACCCGACCTTTCGCCATTCACGGACAGCGTGTAACTTCAGTACTTGATATGCACTACAAACCTGACAATACTAGACGCAGAAAGCAGAAAAACTACGTTAGAACCGGCGACAACGTAACCGTCTTTAAGCCATACACAAATAGTATAATAATTGTACAAACAATCTTTCTAGCCCTATTATGCGTTCGTTGTTTCTTTAACTCTAAACGTAGGTACGGCTTAATGATACTATCCTCGCGTCGTTGTTTTTGAGTCGGCAACATTTACACGATCTGTTTTCAGGTCCAACTCCTACCGCTACAAAGAACGAACATAAGCCATCATTAATAGCAACAAAAGATAATTGAATAATAGCAGTCATCATCTACTGGGTTTTTTGAAACGTCGCCGTTTCACATTATTTGCCTATTATGTTTTTTTTAGATCGGTACGGTTTAATAACACATAAGGTTAATCGAAAGTGGGCAGCCTTGCGTATTTGTATACCTGCTTGCTAGCTTCGAGAGTATGGCCTTCTAGGATAGGTTTTTTTTTGTTTGTCGGCATCTTGTCGTTGTAAAACAAAGTGCACATAGGCTCACCATATAAAATCTACATACGTATGCGCGGCTGACGTTTCTAGAGATGTTTGTTTATGGTGTGGAACGTTCGCGACACGAATTAAACAGGAAATGGATGGGTGCTAAATCAATACGCAGTAATATTGATGGTACTGATCTTAGAATCTTGTCATAGTAATCTGCAGGGCTTGCACGGAGCAGTAATATTTCAGTACACCTTGGCGGGCATTTTTGGTACCAAAAAAAAAGTCAGTTCTTTTTAAGATGAAACAACAAATTTGTCATGGCAGAAAACCATACGTCGTCAAGGTAAGCTTTATGCAATGTTTTGACGCGGAATTTCCCCTATTAAAATTGAAAACTTATTATTTTTGCCTGAAATTGATAATCTATGTGACACGCCAGTTTTCTTTTTTTTTTTTTTCTCAGGAATATTCTCACGAAGCGAACCAAGAGATTCTCAGAAAGAGGTTTAAATTTAAAGGACTCGGAAAGTTTATCAAAATGGTTTAAAAAGCCTTTTTCCATATATGTTTTTCATAGAAAAATTAATAGCCCTGCTGGAAGGAAAAATGCTCTATTGCTAATTAAGCCGTTCATATACGATCTAACGGTGAGCCTTTTGGGAACTTTGCGTATTCTGTTTTTCTCGCCAACTTCTACGTTTTTGGGACTGATGTCAGCATAAAATTCTATATAAAAGCATTTCGATGGTGTAGTTGATCGTTGCTTTACGAGGGTGTGCCTGTTAAAATCGCTTGACCCATGATTGCTCCTAAACGATTAAAGGACGAATTTTTTGAGAATTACGAGCCCTTTAGTTTTCAGGTCGATGCCACATAGTTGAGGTGAGTGCTGGTTATATACTGAACAAACATGACCGTCAAAGATTACACTTCTCGTACATGCAAATAAATTGAGAGAATGTCTGTTTATGTCTAGAAACAGTTGTTACAAAAAAACGTCGGGATCTAGCTACTCCGATTTGTTGCCGTTAGATTATCAGCAGGTCTTCGATTGGCCTTATATAAATCGTACATGCAACAAACAATGCCCCCTGTATATGCAGCCACACGTGAGATCGTGAACATCTCCTTATACTAGAGTCTATCTGATAATAGAGTAGCATCAAAACTAGCGGACAACGAACGCCCTACTACTCGTGTTGTTGCACTGTGGGAACAATAGCAAAGGCGAATACGATGCGTGTCTCGCAGAGCTGCCTAGCATCCGTTGTCAACGGCACGCAAAAGAGTTCGCACTTAATCTTATTGCCATCAACAGTTTCCTCAGTGGGATCTGCTTAATTGCACTGATGTTACTAGTAAGATGTACTATCTATATGAACCTTTGGGCCTAGTTTCTGTGCGGCCCAGGTAGCATGTTGCGCAAAGGCTTGCCGGGTTGGTTGCCCCCGCTGACGCCGTTGTGCATTATAATAATACTCGTGCATACACTGCAGGTACGTTTATAGTAGCGCGTGCTTATACACAGATACATATAGAGGGATCCAGACCCATAAGTCCGAACGAAAAACTATCTACACGTCGTCTTCATCTTAAAATAGGGACAGAGATAAGCGAAAGCTCCCATAACTGTGAGAGTAGCTTTTCTTCCATCTGGGTGCAAGCAAAAAACAGCTTATAGCATGAGCTATCAGAGGATGCAATATTCTTGTGACGACGGTAGCGTCTACAGCCGCTAGATCAACAATGAGCCAGACGAAGGTGAGCCTCGTATGTCTGCACTCTGCAGACTCATCGTTGGGGCTAGCTGTGACCACTGTGCGATTTACCATCTAATTGATGTATTTTGTTCTTTATGGGTAAGGTGGGAGTAAGAGGCGGCCGAGAACGGGACACGGGAGTAAACCGGCCGGTGGGCTACTATCTCCTCGAGGCTAGAATACCGCTGGTGCTAGCTTTATAGAGCAGCTCACCACAGGCATACTCCAAATCAGCAATGACTGGTTGGTCCTCCTGATAGCAGCATTTGTAGCGCTGGCGATCAGCCATGGCCAAACGGGGTAGGGGCTCGAAAGGGATAAAGAGTGTATGACAAAGAGATCGCAATATTTTCATTATGTTAATGCTCATCCGAAGCGCGAACACATGACGCACTAAGGAAAGCCTGAATATAATTATCACCCTATTGTTTCATCGAAGCTATTGTTATTTTATATTACCGCAGTGGGCGTGGTTTGGAAGCTATTATAATAACCACGGGTACCTTTATTATTATTTCATTTATTTTTTATATTTTATATATAAATTATCTTTTAATAGCAATAACGGGAATTGTTCAGTGTAACGTACGGTGCACGAGAGTTGCGAGCAGGCTTTTTCCCAACCACATGTCCTCACATGTATATCAGCCTATGGCTTGTAGCCGAAGATTCTTGAGTTACACATTGTTCCGCATTGTTGTACTCATTGTCGGCAATTAACGCTAATTCATTTGTTGGTTAGTGTAAAGTCCACTTTAACAAACATCTTTCTGGCATGACCTGACTTCAAAGTACCATAAATGTTACTTGTTTGTTAGAATGTCGGCCGTTCCCTTTGTGTCCCCCTTGTACATACTTAGCTTTCTAGATTGATTTGATAAATCATTGCTGCCACTGTAGATAGCAGCTTGTAGGAGTGGACCATTTAAACATGTACGAGGGTAATCTGGCCATAGAAGAGCATTTTGTTAACTCGAGTGAAACAGGTTCGACTTACTGTCAAATGTAGCTCGCTATGGCCGATATGGTGGCAGCACTGGTAGAATACGCTGCTGGCGCTGATATCGATCGACAAAATGAAACAGCGACAAAAACGGGCTCAGTGCAAATAATGGAATGATAAAAAGAGAAAATGCTCTTCTACTCACTGATTGTCTGGTAAGGAAATGCCTTTGTAAGTAGTGGATGCGCAAGAAATTAACGCATATCCTGATCTGCGTTTATCTAAATCAGTAATTAACCCCTAACTAACTTGTTATCCTCTATGATTTCTAAAAGAACGTTCGTGTTCTTCGAATAAATCATCGCAATCACACATGGCGCACACAAGCTAGAGATTATATGTGCGAATATGTGGCAGATGGAATCTATGTACATTTAATATAAACGCTAATCATCTATTCTTCGTTAAGCAGGACCTCTACCCTAAGTGTACACTTAGTAAAGTGTACACTTCGTAATTTAATTGTGCAGGACCCAATGCATTCGACAGACGTCATTGGCAGCTGCCGGCATTACCTCACGTAATGCTTTGCACAACAGAAGTAAGGATTAGACAGCTAGTTCGCTTTTCCGTTTTTCTTGTATTCAATTTAGAGGTAATTCACAGGCTTAGCTGAAGCTTAGCCTCAGGTAGGCCGCTAGCTAACGGTCGATCGTCGTCGAAACCTAACCTCTACCACTGCCTACTATTGGCTGTCATAGCAACACTGTTAAGCCGAGGCTCGCATAAAATATAGAATTCAGTTGACACCCTAACCCGTGCTGCCCACGCAATCCCAGCTGACCCGGCCATCCCTAGGCTACGGCTCAACGTCGCGTACGCACCGTTCGATTAGTAAATGTGGCAATCAATGACGCGCTGGCGATAACAGATTCCATTCCTACTAATAATGCCGCAAATATCCAGATAGCGTCATCAGTTGGACCCTAGCTGTTCAATGCTATGGGTACATTGGTACAAATGAGGATTTTGGTAGAAAATAGGCAACAAAGCGTTCCTTTTAATCACAATGTATACAGGCCACCTTTTGCAGATTCTAATCGATCGAATCCTCATTTGATGTATACATACCCATATTGAAAGCGCCGTTTCACCAAGTATTTATTTACTCAGTGTTGAAGTACTGTATTTGAAGTTATGGGTGTTTAACTAGATATGACAGGGATGAAGAACAAGCAACTGACTTTTGGTAGTTGGGTGTTGACCGGAGCCCGCTGCCGACGCAAGCAAACAGAGATTCCTCAACCTCTCGGAAGCATGCGCTTGTGATGGCTTGAGACACTCAGAGGATCGATTCCGATCGGACGACACGTACTACACAGCTTGTCGAGAGCTACTGTAGATGTTTGAATGAACGATCTACTCCTTAGTTGATTGACTGCTACCATTTCTGAGTGTTTTTGCTCTCGTTATCATCATATGTACATATATATGACAATACTAAAATTTGATTACTGATTGCGACACATATAGACTAGAAAAAGATTAGTCAATCTCTAGTTGTACCTTCGAAGCTGGAATATTCGAACTCCATAACAAATAATGCAGTATAACGTAAGACGGCAAATCCCGGAAGAAGTAAATTTCAATTTAGGGATATAGATAATGTTGCTGATGTTTATGATACCTCTATATGTCTATGATCTATAGTGATGAATCAAAATAGAGCGATGCACACAAAGCCTAAACTAAATACAGTTGTTATAAGTCTACCACTAAGCCTACACAGGCTTACATATCTAATACAGGCGAGAAATTGATGATACGAAGTGGCGTATAGTGTCGACAGTGTGACGATGAGGTTCACTGATGGCCATCTGTTACGCTCTTCATCTCAGCAATACATGAGCTAAATCAATGGCGTATCTCAACGCTTCCTGTCGCTCTTT